CTTGAGATGCCACTTCACACTCACTAGGATGGCAACAATCAAAATGACAATGTAAGTGTTGGTGAGGATCTGGAGAAATCAGAAGCCTCATACACTGCTGGTGGCAATGCAAAATGATGATCATATGGAACTCTAACCTTTTGAAGAAGTGCCAGACTGTTCTCCAAAGTGGTAAGTGTGGAGGCCGAGAAAATTAAGGCCATTCCACTTTGAGTTCAGCATTATCACAAGTGCAGCCATCCCAGGCCCCTGTGAATAAGAGCTGAACTTTACCTTACTGCAGTTACAGGAAGAAAACAGTTTGCAGCTTAACGTCCTAGGAAGCCCCTATTAGAACGAGAACAGAGCTCAACGCCCTTGAAAGCCCCATAGCAGAATGTAAACAGAACTTGAGAAATTCCTCCACCGCTTCTGGAGATCCCCTAGACCAGCCTATAAAAACTCAGCTGAAACCCACCTCGGGGTCCAAGTCCCTGCTCCGCTGTGTCGGGTCTACTTGGACCCAAGCTCGAGCTTGTAAATAAACCCTCATGTGTTTGCATCGGTGCCGGCTCCTTGGTGGTTTCTCAGATTCGCAATCTTGGGCACAACAGTAAGGGTTTCTTTTTGGGGTGGTGAAAATGTTCTGAAATTAGATGGTGGTGATGGTTACACTGAGATAGGGAAACTGAAGGGACTCCAAGAAGAACTGGTTTTTTTTTTTTTTTTTTGCTCTTTTTCCTGCATCTACTCTTGCTAGGACCTGCACCCCCACCTTACACTTGTGTGCCTTATACTTAGTACAAATAATGTATGCCCTTCTTGTAAGGGTCTAGAAGTTAATGATTTCTTTGGAGTTTTCCAGTACAATCCAGAGAAGTGACAGGGCAAGGTTGTCATGTACATTCTGCAGACCATTGACTTCAGACACCCTGATGCCAAGCCTCCTGGCTCCGGAGCATAAGTGACTTAAAGAGGACACCTGAGCACTCATCCTTGTTTTGACCAATTTCTGGATGCGTGAGAAGACATGTACACCAGATCACAATCCTCATTACATCCCATCACAAACCCCACATCCCAAGCAAAAACTGAGATTTGATTTTTTGTTTGATTTCTATCCTTTGTAAAGCCATGGACCCTCTTGGCTGGTCCTGTAGGACTCCATTTGGGTCCATGGACCCAGTCTGCCTACATCAACACAAGTCTGTGAACATACTAAAATTCACTGTAAGGCATACTTTAAAATAGTGAATTTCAAGTCACACAAATTCTATCTCAAAAATCTGTGACTAAAAAAATGAAAACTGAAGGTTGACTTACTAAAACATATCTGGGAAGTTATTTAAATAAATATTCAAATGATATTTAACTCTGTATTTTTTATATTTGTCTTTAGAAAGCAATTTGAGATACACACAGACATAAACAGGACCTTAATTTCCTCTTTCCCCAACTCCCATCATCTCCCTCCTCAAAGCGTTAAGTTCCATTGTCAGTGATTTAGAAGGCAGTTGGGGTGAGGTCAGAGCCTGGTCGTCAATTAATCCACTCCTGAATAATCGAGTGTTGTAAATCCAGATTAACAACAACAAAAAGATAGTTATTTCTTTGGGTTGTCCTGTCCTATCCAGCATTCTTAAAGCACACCACTCCAAAGACTTTAACATAACTAAAGTTGTTTCAAACTTCCATAAATTAAAATCTAGGGAATATTTTTTTTTTAAGATTTATTTATTCATGAGAGACACACACAGAGAGAGGCAGAGACACAGGCAGAGGGAGAAGCAGGGTCCCTGCAGGGAGCCCTTTTTTGGACTCCATCCCAGGAATCCACAATCATGACCTGAGGCAAAGGCAGACCCTCAACCACTGAGTCCCTCAGGTGCCCCAAAATTTAGGGCAAGAATTAAACAGAGCATAGTATTTTTAAAGATATGGCCATAATCTGAAATTGGTTGTGGCCATTTTATATACATTGCCCACTTCTCTGTTAATATTAAATGCAAAATCAATGAACACTAGAAATTTTGTTTTTGAACACTAGTAATTAATACACAATACTTCTGTTTTGTGTTCATTAGAATAACACTCAGTTATCTTTTAATAGTACTAATGTTAGTTTTGAGTTCCTATTTTTCTTTAACATACACATTTGAGTATCTTTCCAAAGTCTCTTGATCATTTCTTATTTGAAAATGTTCTCATCCCAAGAGGTCAAACAAGTTTTAGAGCTTAATCCTTTTTGAACGAAGTCAAAGCTGACCTACGGGACCCCTGGGTGGCTCAGCGGTTGAGCATCTGCCTTTGGCTCAGGGTGTGATCCCCGGTCTGGGATGGAGTCCCGCGCCAGGCTCCTTGCAGTTAAGCCTGCTTCTCCCTCTGCCTGTGTCTATGCCCTTCTCCCTGTGTCTCTCATGAGTAAATTAAATCTAAAAAACAAAAACAAAAACAAAAAAACCCTTCTCTCTTTAAAGAACAGCAAAAAAACGCCTCCCCAAAAACAAAAAACAAAGCTGACATACCTCTAGGAGGGTGCCAGACAATCTAAAAGACACAATACTAAAAAATAAATAAATAAATAAATAAAAGACACAATACTCTAAAAACTGGGGCCACAAATTCATACTGTATCATTCAGACTGGTAGTATACCTGAGTCGATCAAATCAAATGAGATGCAATAAAAAGTGGTGAGGAATTGTGGCAAACAGGACAGCATTCCATCCTTAAGGCATGTACTTTCAGCCAACTGGTAGCCATGCAAGGATGGATCTTGTATTATCAAACCTTCTCATTTTTCTCAAAAGACCCAGATATCTGGCTTTGTTTTAAAGATTTTATTTGTTTAATCAGGAGAGACACACACAGAGAGAGAGGCAGAGACACAGGCAGAGGGAGAAGGAGAAGGAGGCTTCCTGCAGGGAGCCTGATGTGGGACTCGATCCCAGGACCCAGGGATCACGACCTGAGCCCAGGCAGATGCTCAACCACTGAGCCACCCAGATGACCCAGCAATCTGGATTTCTATGTGAATTTAGCATAAAGGAAGAAACTTTAACCCTCCTTTCTGGTTAGTTCAAGGTTGTGTCAAGGGCTACATTTTCAGTAGGCACCATGCTAAGTTGGATATGAAATGAATGTCAGTTCTGAGTCTTCATTCGGCACAGAGGACCCTTCACGTTCACGGCAATATTACAGATCAAAATATACCACAAATGGTCACAACCAGCTTCGGGCTCCAGTGACAGTCACTTTAGCTACGGTTAATTCAGGAAAGACAGTTGGACTCCTATGCCTCACACACTTTTTCCATTTCAGTCCGCTCAGGAACAGCCAAGGAACACAAGTCCTTCCCCACCTCCTCTAACTCCCAGAGTCCCCTCTGTCTAATTCGACACTTCAAAAAAGTCTCAAATTAAAACAAAAAATCAAAAAAAAAAAAAAAAAAAACCAAACACTTCATACAAACTTTCATTTCTATTCCATAATACAGCCATGCCCCCCCCCCTTTTTTTTTAAGTAGTTTCTAGACCCAATGTGGGGCTCGAACTCAAGATCCGGAGATCAGCAGTTGCACCGCCCCACAGCCATGCGTGTTTCAGTACGAAAACTGTGCTGTCGTTTCCCTCGGTAATTCTTGGTCACTGTTACGTGGGGCTTCCCATCATCCGCAACACAGTGCTCGCTACCCTCCGAGGCACTGGTCACCCGTGCGCGAAGCGCGGATCCAGCCACCTTTTCTGGATTCCGAAGGCCCTTCTTGGAACGCAGAGCTTTTAAGGAGCGGTGGTGCACACGCGCACACACACAAGCGCGCACGCACACGCACACACACGCGCATACGCACACGCACACACGCGCATACGCACACACACGCGCATACGCACACGCACACACACGCACACACGCGCACACACGCGCATACGCACGCACACACACACACGCGCGCACACGCACACACACGCGCGCACACACACGCACGCACACACGCACGCGCACACACACGCGCATACGCACACACGCGCACACACACACACGCGCACACACGCGCACACACACGCGCGCACACACACACACGCGCACACGCACACACACGCGCACACGCACACACACGCGCACACGCGCGCACACACACGCACGCACACACACACGCGCGCACACACACGCGCATACGCACACACGCACACACACACGCGCACACACACGCACACACACGCGCGCGCACACACGCGCACACACACACGCGCACACGCACACACACGCGCACACGCGCGCACACACACGCACACAGACGCACACGCACGCGCACACACACGCGCACACACACGCACACACGCGCACACACACGCACGCACACGCACACACTCACCGCTGAAGATGTCAATCTGAACACTTCGCATGCTGCAAAAGCGTGCTGAATGAGGGCGACGTCACGGTTTAGCGAAAATAGGCTTTTTTTTTTTTTCTGAACCCCCCCACTTAATCTTAGAAACTCGACCAACGTTTTTAGGATCAATACGCTACGCTTCTTGGACCTCGGTCGCTGCGGCATCGCATCCCCTTACACTTGTGCACCATCTCCCCGCGGACTGCAGGGGCAGGCCCGTCTCCCCGAGGTCGTTCCCTCCAGGATAAACTCGCCTTCGGTCTTCCCACAAAGATCCCTCTCCCCAGTCCCCAGATCCGGGGCGACGCCTCTCGGCGCAGAAGGAAGAGGAGGAGTAAAAGCCCGAGCAGGGCCTCCCGACGCCGGCCTGCGGGAAGCCATGGAAGCCCGGGAGGGAGCGGCCCGGGGTCTGGGGAGGGCCCGCCCTCGGCGCGCCCGAGCCCAGCCCCGCGAGGCTGTGCCCGCAGCGAGGCCCGGCCGCGGAGGCTCCATCGAGGGCGCTTCGGCCAAGCGCCTGCCGCGGCCTCAGGCGCCGGGATGCGGGGCGAGCGGATCCGCCAAATCCTGCCCGACCCCGGGGCCGCTCAGACCGCACAAAGGGCCCCCGGCCGGCCCCCCCGCGGTTTCCTCACCTGTGCTTGGCGGCCCTCCGAGCCGCAGCGCCACCGGTGAGGCCCCGCGCGGTGCGGGGAGGCGACGGGAAGATGCCGCAGCAGCCCCCGGCCGGTCACAGCCCCGCCGCCGCCGCCGCCGCCGCCGCCGCCGCCGCCGCCGCCGGGGACTCCAGGCCGGGCTCCCGGGAACGAGCCCCGCCCCTCCCCGGGGCCCCGCCCCCGCCCCCGACTGGCCAGGATCCCGGATGTGGCCTCCTCCGGCGCCCGGATCCCCGCCCTTCCTTCGTAGGCCGCGGCCCCTTCCGACCCCGCTACGGGTCCCGCACGGCCCAGGCCGAGTTCCGCCGTCCCCGGGAGGCTAGAGCGTCCCCCGGCGCTCCGTCGCGCTGCAGGTGACGGTGCCGGCGCGCGGCGGCTGTCGGGAAGTAGGCGGGGTGACGTGGGTTGACGAGCGCGGCGGCGGGTTTGCCGAGATCAGTGGCGGCGGCAGCTGGTGCGCGGGGCGGCCGCGGCCTGAGGCGGAGCGGGCGGTGCGCGGCCGGGGCCATGACGGGCAATGCCGGGGAGTGGTGCCTCATGGAGAGCGACCCCGGCGTCTTCACCGAGCTCATTAAAGGATTCGGTGAGAGCCAGGGGGGCCGTCCCGGGCCGGGGGTCACGGGAGGAGGCCCAGGCCGGACACGGAGTGGTTCTCGGCGGCCACCGCCGGTCGCGTCGCGTCGCGTCGCGTCTGACGGGAGGCGAGTCCGGCAGCGCGGGTCGCGCAGGGCCCTCGGCCGCTCCTCCGCCCCGGGCGCTGGCGTTTCCGCAGGGATCGGAGCCACGGGACGGGGGCGGGGATCGTAGGTGTCCCGCGCGCTGTGGCGTCCGCTGGCCTCAATCACTTGTCCGTTGGCCCGAGCGCGCCCCCGCCGCGCCCCCGCGCCCCTCCCCCCGCCCCCGCGCGCGCAGACCTTCCGCTCTCCAGGGTCGCTCGCCTGGGAGCGCTCCCCGCGCCCGGCAGGTGAGCCTGGACGCCGCCTCTCAGGCCGTCAGCCCTGTGGGAAGAGCGAGGGTGTCCCTCCTCCTCCTCGGCGGCGGCGGCGGCGGCGGCGGCTGAGGCCGGCGACTCCCTCACAGCGCCGCGTGCGTGTGGAGAGCTCCGCGGCCGTCGCGCACGCGGACCGCCCGGCGCTGACGAGACGCTTTGCTGCTTCTCCCCCCCCCCCCGCCCGCGCTCTCTCTCTCTCTCTCTCTCTCTTTTTTTTTTTTTTTTTTTGACATCCGGTAAAGTGTGGATTCTTGAGCCTAGTGCTCTAGACCAGAGGCCACATGCTTTCCTCAGCCGCGCTCCTTGCCTCACATCCTAAATAGCACATTTGGCCTTTTTGGCTTTGGGCAGTAGGTGTGTTTCCCGGCTACCTTTCTCCCAAGTGTCGTCGATTCTGGCTATTACGTCAAAACTTTTACCGGGCGTCAGAAACTAAACGTTGGTAGAGGCGCTGTCCATTGCGCACAGCTGCGTGCCAGGAATGTGATTTATCAGGTGTATTCTGTTTGCCTGCCGTATCTTCGGGCACCCTGGGAGGGCTGGGGAAGTTTCGGTGTGAATCAGCCATGACTGCTCCTCTAAAGATCCGACGGTGCGTTGATTGCTGTGCTAGAGCATGTGCAAAAACGCTAAGGGGACACAGGTCACGGGAGAGCACAGGCAGAGGGAAGAACGTACGCAGTAACGTAAAGTATACGCAGTAGGAAACAGCAAAGGGACAACAAAACAAAACAAACAAACAAAAAAAAAAAAACAAAAACAAAACACACAATGTAACAGACGAGGAAATATTTGAACCTGAAGCTGAAAAGTAAACTGAGGCAAGATTGTATGCTGAGTTGTAGAGTTTGGATTGCCCTGTCGTCCCTGGGGACTTAGCTGTCAAAGATGATTGGATGCTGAAGTGACATTTTTATGATTGGAAAAGGTTTATACCAAGTGTGGTATGCGGGCTGGGGTGAAATGAAGGGAGAGGGGGATCCCTGGGTGGCGCAGCGGTTCGGCGCCTGCCTTTGGCCCAGGGCGCGATCCTGGAGACCCGGGATCGAATCCCACGTCGGGCTCCCAGTGCATGGAGCCTGCTTCTCCCTCTGCCTGTGTCTCTGCCTCTCTCTCTCTCTCACTGTGTGCCTATCATAAATAAATAAAAAAAATTAAAAAAAAAAAGAAATGAAGGGAGAGAAGCTAGAAGTGTCTTAAAATGATTGGAGTCAGATGATGAACTTGACTTAAAAGTAATGGGTTAAAGAGGAGGAAGCTGTTGTAATAATTTTGCTTTATTTAAACCAGCAGGACATCCCACTGACCGGATGTAGGGGGAATGTGAAAATGCTCCAGGGTTTCTAGCTTGAGTGACTGGTGAAGCTTGATGAACAAGCTTGATAGACAAGAAAATGAGTTCCTTTTAGGATTTTTAGTTTGAGATGTCTGCAGGTTTAGCCATGAAATTTGACCATTAACACCTTAACTCTTTTGACATTAATGTTGACTTTAAGAAACAGTGTACTAGGCAAGTTTGTTTTTCAGTCCTATATACATAGAAGACTTATAATTCAAAATGATTAAAAGTTATGCTAAAGAGGGTGATATGTAAATGCATTTTTTTTTGCACTGACACATATGGAAAGTGAAGCAATTGCTATTAATAGGTTGGCTTTATTAGCAGAAAAATGTTGCAAAAAGTTAAATGGTACAAGTTGTATACCATCATCAGATACTTCAAAGAGAACATAAGTTTATTCCAACCATTAACATTTTTTTCTTACACAGTTCATGGATTTAAAAAGCTTTTTGAAGTTCATTTTTTAAAAAGTGCACAATCTCATTGTGTCATGAATGCTATTGTAATTTATTTTAAAAGTTTCTTCACTGGAGAGGAAATTACTTGTGGAGTCGATGAATATATAAATACATATTTTAGTGGAGTATAATCCATGGTAAAACAAAGTTCTTTTTTTTTTTTTAAGATTTATTTATTTGAGAGAGAGAGAACGAGAGAGCACTCACACATGCACACCTGAGTGTGAGGAGGGGCAGAGGAGGAGAGAATCCTCAGAGTCCCTGCTGAGCACAGAGCCTGACTTGGGGATCAATCTCATGACTACGAGATCACAACCTGAGATGAAACTGAGAGTTGGCCACTTAACTGGCTAAGCCACCCAGGCACCCCCAAAACAAAGTTTTTATTAGGAAACTGATGGAGCAGAACTTCTACTTTTAATTGGTGTGGTACACACATAATTCATAAATGCACTGAAATAAACTGTGATAGTCTACTGATTAAAAACAGAAGCTGTAAACTTATGTTTCCATCCAAGATGGAATAACAGGAACTGCATTTACTTTTCCTACAACAAATCAGTGACCCCCAACTTTCATTTCAACAAACCAGAAAAAGAATAGCAAATGAAACTTGAAGTAAGCAGTTGAAAGGGAATAATAAAGATCAGAGTTGAAATTAGTGAAACAAAATAAGATAAAAATGGTGGAAAAAATCAATGAGACTAAAAGCTGATTTCTCAAAAATCAATGAAATGGATAAACTTCTAGTCAGAGTAATTGGAAAGAGGAGAGGAGAGGAGAGGAGAGGAGAGGAGAGGAGAGGAGAGGGTGCCTGGCTGGCCCAGTTAGTAGAGCAAGTGACTCGATCCCTGGTTTGTAGGCTTGAAAATAAAATATTAAAAAAAAAAAAAACCCAAAAACTAGAGGAGACACAAATGACCAATTTTAGAAGTAAAAGAGGGGATACCACTATAGATTTTATAGATTAAAAAGATAATAAGGGAATATTCTAAACATTATGCTAATGAATTTGACAACTTGGATGAAATGTATGAATATCTTTAAAGATAAAAATTACCAAAGCTCATAGTAGAAGAAATAGATAACCTCTATAGCCTTGTATTTATTGAATTGAAATTATAATTTAAAATCTTCCCACAATGAAAACTCTAGCCAAAATTGCTTCACTAGTAAATTATTTCAAATACTTAAGGATTAACTAATACCAGTTCTACACAAAACTTTTCATAAAAAAAAAAAAATGGAGAGGAAGAAGTATTTCCCATCTCATTCTGAGAGCCATCATTATCCTAACACCCAATCCAGACAAAGGCATTACAAGAAAAGGAAACTACAGACCTAACTCCATCATCAACATAAATGCAAAAGTTTTTCCTTGACCTGAAAGTCTGTTATGACTTCTCTTGAGGTACGTGTTACTTTGTTTTGAGGAGAGAGGCAAGTTAAAGCCTGGCTTTCACACAAGAAATACAAGTATACTTAGGACGGTGCACCTGGTACCTACCCCTAGAAAGGAGTACTGCTTATAATTGTTGGGGTCCCCAAAATGGAACCCTTTCATTAGAGATATAAATTAACAGCTTTCCAACTTGAGGTTCCCAAATAGTTGCCTCTAGTCCTTGATTTGGAGGGCTTACTGAGTGCCCACAATTCATTTTTTTCCTATTTGGTCACATCACTAACTAAATAACATGGAATGACATGGTTAGGGAAGATACCTGGGACTATTTTTTGTAGGAGGTACAGAAGCTGGGGCCATGCCTTTGCTTCTGGTAGACTTGGTGTGGTTAGGGGAATGACAGATTGTCAAAACTGTTGGAAGATAGCATTAAATTTAAGGCACTGGCAACAGGGAGGGTCCTTCCCTGGGTATTTTTCTTTTCTTTTCTTTTCTTTTCTTTTCTTTTCTTTTCTTTCTTTCTTTTCTCTTTTCTTTTCTTTCTTTTCTTTTCTTATTTTCTTTGTTAATTCATGAGAGACACACAGAAAGAGGCAGAGACCCAGGCAGAGGGAGAGGCAGGCTCCTCACAGGGGGCCCGTTGTGGGACTCGATCCTCAGACTGGGGTCATACCCTGAGCCAAAGGTAGATGCTCAACCATGGAGCCACCCAGGCATCCCCGCCCCCCAGTATTTTTCTTGGGGAGAAATGTTCCAAGTATATTTTTAAGAAAGTTAATTTTGAAATTAGTTCTGGAATAGAACTATTATGGAGCCACCAGTATCATAATACAACTATGTTTGTCAATACTTAAGTTTTTCAAACATTTAAAATATATTCCTTTCACTTTGGAGCAGTGTTCTGGTTTGGATGACA